TTAACCGAAGCAAGCTATTCAATAACGACTTGGCGGCTCTACAGATGAACAAAAGTCACATCAAATTCAATCGACTGGTTTCCGTCGGATCTTGGATCTGTCTAAGTACTTAATGTACGACTTTTATTATAATAAACTTCAGACACAGTATGGTAATCAGTGTGAGGTGTTGTACTCCGACATGTATTCCTTGTTGTTAGAAATTTGTACCAAGGATGTGTACGAGGACATGGCGAAAAACATCCACCTGTACGACACCAGTGATTTGTCTCCAATCATCCACTACACAGAATCACCACTAAAAAGGTACTTGGGAAAATGAAAGACGACTGTGTTGTGACCCCGATTGCCGAGTACATCGGTTTAAGCCCTAAAATGTATTCGATTAAAAACGCCGATCATGGTGAAATCAAAAGAGTCAAAGGGGTACAAATATACGTGGTCAAACAAGGAATCAAACACACCCTCTTCAAACAAGCTCTCTTCCACAAGGGGCGGTGGGGTAGCCTAGTGGGTAAAGTGTTGGTTCGTCACGCCGAAGACCGGGTTCGATTCACCACATGGGTACAATGTGTGAAGCCCATATCTGGTGTCCCCCCGCCGTGATGTTGCTGGAATATTGCTAAAAGCGGCGTAAAACCAAACTCACTCACTCCTACCACAAAAAATACATTCAAACATCAGATGAAGATCTATGGGATAACCCTCAACAAAACGTCCTTGTCGCCCATGGATACCAAACGATGGATCGCTGGCAATGGCGTCACGACTTATGCTTATGACCACTGTTGTATTAATTTTTTTAAAATAAATTTTAACATAAAAAAAATATAAAATATAAAATTTTTTTTTGGTGTGTTAACCAACAACGCATCGCTTGCAACATTTGGCGTCACGACTTATACTTATGGACATCGTTGTATTAAAGGAGAAATATGAATAAAACAATATAATGAATAAGATTTACTACAGCCCACAGGTCTACTGGAAAGGCATAAGTGCTATCCCCAAACTCGCCAAAGCCGCGAAAGTCTCCGAAGAGACTCCTAAGACTAGGCTCCTCGATACATCCCGAGAAGAAAGTTTAATATATCAACACCCAATCGAGTTCACCAAGCTGACCTTTTGTTTCTCCCACACGATAGGGTGAGACGCAATACGTATGAATATGCTCTGACCATTGTGGATGTGGCGAGTTGCTACAAAGAAGCCAAACCACTCGCAGCAAAATATTCGGCTAAAGTGACTAAAGCACTGGAACATATTTACAAATGAAGTCCTTAAACATGGCCTGGAGAATTACAAGTCGATCCTAGACGTAAAATTATTGGCTCCGTGCCGCAGCTGCTGTCCAAACACAAAGTCGAGGTCAGGCGTGGTACGGTGGGAGCGCATCGCCTCCAAGCCATCGTCGAGAGATTAAACTGAACGTTAGCCGAAAGCTTGTTCGGACACCAGTACGCCCAAGAAATAATGACGCCCGAAAAACGATCGACGGAATGGGTCGTGCGTTTACCTCAAGTTACAAGGGCGAACAACAACCATGTGACGCGACTAATCGACAAAAACACCCATCGAGGCCATTAAAATGAAATAGGTGAATTAGGCGCACCACCAAAGGGGTGTAAAAAAACACAGAAGAAACTGTCGGGTCGGATCAGCATGAGGTATTTATACCAGCGTGGTGAACTCGAGGGAGGCAATTGACGCCGTACCACGTCGATCGGGTGGATATAAAAAAAGACGAACCCCATTTGTATTATCTGAAAGACAGACCCGTCAGGGGATGCGTGCGAAAGGAATTGATTGTCGTCCCCGCGACACAGTATTACCTCCTTAAGGATTTGAATATAGAGGTATATCATCATCATGTGGAAATTGATCGAGAAACGATTTTTCAATCGCGCTGGGATGAACGTCGATGGACTTGATATTTATTCAGCCCTACGTCGACTACTGATTCAAGGTCAATTCTTGACCCTGTACGATAATTTAGGCTTGGTGGGCGCCGAACGATTACAACTTCTTATGGATGGTTTAATCGATTATAGCCTCGAGATCAGAGATCGTCCTGCTCCGTGCAGAACCTATTCCTTAGCCGACTTCGATGAATTTATGGCAGACCCCATCCATAACAAAGTCGCTAACTGTTACTATTAGAACGATATGTTGACATAACAAAACGTCTATAAACAAGCATGGCCACTAAGGTGACATAATCCCCCGCCGCAAATTATCAAATCAAACTTAAAACGTAATGGAAGTTCAAGATGAAGTCAAATGTTAACAAATACATGACCAGTCAACATCTCTTAATATCTTTCTCTATAGTTGTCCTAACACAAATATTTTCAAGACTGACTTTGACCTTGACATGAATGTCATAGTGTATGATATATGCAAAAATGGTACTGAAGAAATTGCTTATTGAAAAACATTCAAGGAAAGTGGGGAAAGTCTACGAAGAAAATTCAGTGAATTCAGGTTAACATGCTGAAATCTTCAAAGTGTGGCAGTGACCTTGAAAATTATGTGAAGGTCACCAAAACTGACTGGGCCCTGCTCCTTCATTAGATGAAGCTTAGTGTCAAATATGAAAAAAATCTAGTGAATGTTTTTTGCGATATCTTGCTGACTATCTTCACATGTAATTTAACATGGTGAAATCTTCAAAGTGTCTTTGTGACCTTGAAAATCAAATGAAGGTCATCAAAATCGACTGGGCCTTGCACTTTCCTTGGATGAAGCTTGGTGGCAAATATGAAGAAAGTCCAAGGAATGGTTCTTGTGATATCTCGCTGACCATCTTAACATACTGAAATCTTCAAAGTGTCGCTGTGACCTTAGAAATTAAGTAGGACACCAAATCGACTGGGCTTAGCGCTTTCCCTGGACGAAGCTTGGCGTCAATTATGAAGAAAATCCGGTCAATGGTTCTTGAGATATCTCGCTGACAAGCATAACATAACATCTTCAAAGTGTCGCTGTGACCTTGACGACTGGGCCCTGTGCCTTACCTAGATGAAGCTAGGTGTTGAATATGAAGAAAATCTAGTGAACGGTTCTTGAGATATCTCGCTGACTAGAGTAAAACGTTAAAGTCCCCTTGTGACCTTGAAATTAAGGTCAAGGTCACCAAACCTGACTGGGTCCTTTCTTATACTTTGATGAACCTAGGTACCAAATATGAAAAGAATCTAGTCAACAGTTCTTAAGATATTCCCATTCGTACGTACGGACATGTATTAGGGATTTGCCGAAACAACTTTCTCAATAATTTCTGGGAATATTATATAACGCAAAAATAATGTTCTTCAAAAATTGAAACTTGACACCGACTTTCAAGATTAAATATAAAAACATTGTTTGGAAATAGGACACAGACATCATAACTGAAACACCGTTTGAGGATCAATGCACACAATGATCCAAACATTAATTTTGTCGCACCGAGAGACACACGTACACAATAGAGTTAATGTCACAGGGGTACTGGAATTGTGAGTATCGTTTGTAACCAACATGTGCATCAATTACCGCTTGACACGGACGACCCAAGAATGCAATCAAGTTGTCAATAACCCTGCATGTCACGTACAAAAGCAATGATCCCTTCCCTCTTTCCATAATTATTAAGCATACTTTAAATATTTTTATGTATAAAAATTGTTGACCCCTAGTACATGTGATCAAAATTGATGACGCCCCCGAACAAAATGGGTGACCCCACTTAAAATCATCAAACACCCCGAGGTGTTGGTGAGAGGGAGAACACAAGTCTGTAAGATCAAGTCTCTGTAACGCACACTTGTCAGTGCACCTGCCACATGTACGTCGGTCTGTCGTCAACTCTGTTGGGGTGGTTGTACCGGGTCCACAATGCGGAGATAGTCTGTTGACATACGCCAAAGTGCCATGCTGAGCTGCTTGTAAACTGCCAATGGCGTTGTTATGTTGAGCTGTATCTAGTGTTGGCATTCTGTAATAGCGTCTACTGCCGTTATAAGGTCTGTATGAACACCCGTTGATGTGACTTTTTATACCCTTTTAGCAGGGGTGCCTGCGAGCATAATTGCAGGACCCTGTGCTGCACGTTTTTTTACAGCCGGTTGCGTATGGATGAATCGGTAACATTCTTCCCCAAACGCTACGTTTATGTGGTTTGGATGTGTTTCTGCAAATTTTGGAAACATCAGTCTTCTGTTTGCATATTTCTATTCACATTTCATTTAATGTTTTTAGATATTTTGAGAAAGTGGTTTTACACCTATGTCGAGTTTGTTTGGGTTTTTAAGAGTATATATCTTCTACACCTTGGTATTTCGTAAAACAACCGGTTGACTTAACATTTACCAAATTTAAGAACTCAGAAACAAATTAATTACAGTACTAACAAAAATTTACTCAGTTATATAATACATACAAATCTATATTCACAGATCGACCCAAGGATGATGGCGCAGATGCCTGTGTTACTGGATCCAGAACACTAACTTATCAATGCCCATCAAAGAAGTTATATCTTCTCTATTAACAAATATAACCGGTCTATTTTCTCATCAGAAGCAACTGCCCCCAAAAGTAAGTTTATTCCTACCTACGTGTTTAATAGTACACTATGTGTTATTGTAATTTCTGGCTTGTCCAAGGGATCTGAAGGGAAACCAAAACACGTGAAGGGATGATGTAAATTATCTAATTAGTGTAATTCCTAAGGTAGCAAAAGTACAGTAAATCCCTAGTGGGCTCGAGGTTGGTGATCTACCTTCATTTGTTGGCGATCTGTAGCATGTCGTTTCATGGTTCCTCGACAGTTTTAAAAGCAAATCTGTGATATTCAAGTGATGTCAGCGTCCCTTGTTGAAAGTAATATATATATTGTTTAATTATAAGAGTGCTTTTTATTAATATACAGTTTGTATTGCCTCGATATGAATGAAACACTGCCAATGTGACTGTTTATTGTAATTCACTAAGGCACGGTTCTGTGATCAACTTACCTTGACACGTCGGTACGTCAAAAGTCCATCTTTCGTTTTCCTTGCAGCTGATTTCAGATTTCCCAACCAATTTGTAGCCATCAATGCATTGGAAAGAGCATATACTACCATAAATGCGACCGTCACATGTGTGATCCCCATTCCGTATATAATTAGGGCGACGGCATTCTTTCACTGAAAAGAAAATCAATTCAATGAGCATTATATTTGCACTGGATATCATACAGGGTATTCACAAACAAATACAGTATAGTTTTCAGACTTATTTGTACACATTTACAGTTATCTTTCTTTCAAGCTCAGTACAGAAAGACCAATTCATTTGAATCAGTATTTTGGTATTCAGCAGCATAAAATATGAAAAGACTCTCAAACATAACAAAAGAATCAAACAACACCGACAGGATAATAACAAGCATTGTCACTAAGGTGACATAATCCCCCGCCGCAAATTATCAAATCAAACTTGTAAAGTAATGAAAGTTTAAGTTAAATGTCAACAAAAACATGACCAGTCATGCTCTTGATGTCTTGCTCTTTAGGTGTTCAAACACACATATATTTTCAGGACTGACTTTGACATGAATGTCATAGTGTATGAAATATGCAAAAATAGTACTAAAGAAATTGCTTTTTGAAAAACAGTCAAGGGAAGACTTGAAAGTCTTTGAAGAAGATCCAGTGAACTGTTTTTGAAATATCTTGCTGACAATTCAGGTTTAACATGCTCAAATCTTCAAAGTGTCTCTGTGACCTTGAAAATTAAGTGAAGGTCACCAAAATCGACTGGGCCCTGTGCCTTCCCTCGATAAAGCTTTGTATGAAATATGGGTTACTAACAGCCGAGAAGAACTTAATCTTTCCCAGTCAGACTTACTCCGGTAGTCAAACCAACCTTACTGGAGATGGGACTTGCCCCAGGGGAAGGCACAGAACCCGATCAAGAATATCTTGGTCAAATCATTTAAAATCCACACTACTTGAGTGTTCGAAAGCGACAGGATGGCCTGATAATCCACGAATAAACGGCAAGGCTTAAGCTGCATTGGGACAATGCCATGCCCATGTATGCTTTCCTGACGGAGCAAAATCTTCGAGACCAATTCCGGCGTCTTAAAAATCTCATGCGCCGTGAGCCAGTTCAACCCAAAACTGCCCGTCAGGAACCTTTGCATGAGCAGAATGCTCAAGTGACAGCAGACCCAAAACTTCTAATGGATGTCCGCGTGAACCTCTTTCCTCTTCCTGATGGATACTCTTCCAGCACAGAGCTAATTGGACCCGACATTTCGGACCCTCACTCTTCCTCAGTTGCAGTTCTTTCTGAAAACCCTGTGTATATATTTTGTTTCATTCTATTTATTATGAAATATCTGATATACCTTTAGAAAAACGGAGGCCAATTAAATAAACAACTGAATCGTTTCCCAAACATAAAATTAATTTATTAAATGACATTATTTCTATGAAACCTCTGCAGACTGTTCATTACATGAAGTTAATTGTTGTGTCTATGCTGCCGTTCGTACCTTGGAGGAACTTCACACAGTTTCCAAAGAAATTCCATCTAATCATTTTCAAAGAAAAATTGGTTTCAAGTAAAACTAACAGAAACTAGAAAGGACATTTCCTGGATAGAGCTGTGCCTGAAGTTAAGATCATCAGGGAATCCCATGTCTTTAGGACAAAAGTCAAATTACAGTATAAGACAACCAAAGAGAAAATATGCCTATAAATTGTCGATTCCTTTAAGGCCAAAATAAAGATTTTGACTGAAAGAAAGAAGAAATGGGAAAAGAAAAATAAATTCATCAAACAAAATAAACTTTTTAGAAATAATGAAAAACACTTTTGCAGGCAACTGAAAACAAACGGTGATGGTGAGCATGATAAACGGCCTCCCATGAATGCCAATGAAAGGTTCTGGACCCGGCAATTGTAACCTTTAGGCACCATGGGTCCGTGATTATGATCATGCAATGCATGAGAAAGTAACTAGGTCGTTTGTCTGTTACATCTCACCAGATTGCCTGAAATGTGTCATCAAAAAGTCCAACTCTAATACAGCTCCAGGCCCAGATGGCATTCGAAACCGGTATTAGAAACTGTTTCCCTGTGTCCAAACACCATTACTTCGCTGTTTCAATTCTCTTGTGGACACAGGTGATGTTCCTCCATAGTTCTGCAAAGGTCGCACAATAATCCTTCTTAAGAAAGGATACTTGACTGGTCCCAAAAACTCCCGCCCTTTCACATGTTTGTATACTCAGTATAAAGTCTTCACAGGGTGTCTGACAAACCTCGTGTCATCGTGTTCTTCCAATGATATATTTTATAGAGAGCAGAAGGGAGCCAGAAAGGAATGTTGGGGTGCAAGGATCAACTTCTTGTACAGAACATGATTTTGGAAGAGGATAAAACATATCCACGCAACCTCTCCATGTGTTGGATTGACTATAAAAAAGCATACGACTCTGTCCCTCATGAATGGATTCTGAAATCTCTGCATTGTAATGACCTCCCTGAGCGACTACTTGATTTACTCAAGTCATTAATGAGTTGCTGGTCGATTCAACTCGAGATGTACTCGCACGGGCAGGTGCAGACTTCGGAATCTATTCCAATCAGAAGGGGAATTTTCCAGGGGGACTCCTTTAGTCCTTTGCTGTTTTGTTTGTCTCTAAATCCTTTGAACTTTCTGCTCAATAGGGAGGAGGGTTACCATCCCGTACCTCCTCAGCACAGATCCCCAACACCACTTACTCATCTCCTTTACATGGATGACATCGAGCTCCTTGCCAAAGGAATTTGTAAAAGCCGGTTCTCCTTGTCGAGTCCTTTTGGCATGACATTTGGACTGGACAAATGTAATACTCTTCATTTGGAACGTCGCAAGGTAGTTAATGGTGGATCAGTCACGTTACAAGGGGGAGGAGTTATTGAGCATCTTGTGGAAGATCAGGCCTACACCTATCTTGGAATGCAAGTTTGCGACAAGCTCCAGAGTGCCCAAATTCAAGACAAACTTCGCGCCGAGTACAAATCTCGCTTAAAGAAAATCTGGAGCTCAGAGCTAAATGCTCGAAACAATGTCAAAGCCACCAATACTTTTGCTGTGTCAGTCCTTTCCTATTCCTTTGGAGTATAGGAATGGGAGTTACGACTGTCGTAGCACTACGATCGCTTTGAGGAACGGGGCCCAGAACTCTAAAACTGTTCAATGTTTCTTCACCAAACTTGGCACATGGATATATATGGGGGTGTAATGGTGCCTTTTGGTAGTTTTGGTATTCTGAATTCAATATTTTTGGCGATTCCATGGCAACAAGTTTGACTTCGACTGAAATTGGTGGTACAGCTCTTTTCCAGTGCAGAACTCTAAAACCGTTTAATATTTCTTCACCAAACTCGGCACATACATACATCTGGTGGTGTACTGGTGCCTTTTGGTAGTTTGGGAATTCTGAATTAAATATTTTTGGCGATTCCATGGCAACAAGTTTAACTTAGACTGAAATTGGTGGTAGTGCTCTTTTCCAGAGCAGAACTCTAAAACCATTCACTATTTCTTCACCAAACTTGGCACATATACTGTAAGCCATTAAAACCGCAATTTGACATTCATACTTTCTTTACTCACACTAATTTCAATATATATAAACCTAACTGGCAGATATGTTTTAAGTGAGCATCTGTGAATAATTTCATCTGAAAATGTCCAGTCAACAACAACATCAGTGACGCAACAACGACATCAAACAAAGGAGGGGTCACTTGCAGTCAATATCGTGTGTGTCCACCGTGCGCTGCAAGACATGCTCGCAGTCTTTGGGGCATTGAAAGACACATATTTCTCAGGAACAGCTGTTGGATGGTCTGCAGCCTCTGATGGTCTGTGGCCTGATCATGACACCACCTTCCAAAACGATCATGTTCAAGGACACAGTTTGGCGCAAGTCTTTCTCCTTTACGTCGATAAATCTGTGGACGTCCATCTGCAAAGGATAAGTTAAACCTGGATTCATCTGAAAAAATGATATCTGGCCATGTCCTGTTGCAAAGATTGGCCCCATTTGCTTCCCATCGCTGTCTGGCAAGTCTGTGGCGATGCAATAAGGTTGGACCACGATACGGGTGACGACACCGGATGTTGAAGGCAGCAAGGTGTCCTTGCACCTTTTGGGCGCTGAAATGACGTTGACTTGTCCCACTTGTCCTCCTTTCCTTATCATCAGCTGTTTGGAACCGATTTCGCAAGTGTGAAACTCGGATATTGCGGTTTTGTCGAGCTGTTATCACAGGTGGTGCACCAGGCGGCGGACGATCAGCAACACTTCCGGTAGCCCGAAAACGTTGTCTGAGTCGACTTACAGTGGATGGATGCACATTAAAGTGCCTGGCAATCATCACATCTAAAGCACCTTGGCTGACCATACCGATAACCTGATTCCTTTCGTCTTGTGTCAAGTGTGGCATTTTCTCAAAGTGATTAAGTTCCACAATTCCTTGTGCTTTTACAGGGCCTGGGTGCAGTTAATGCATGTGCACAACGTGTTTCATGAATGTGGTTGTGTTTACGAGAAATGTCAAAGTTTCAGTTTTATTTATCAAAGTTCATGTGAGAGGAATGCTCCGGGACTCGAACTCGAAATGGGCCAGAATAACAGCCTTTTATCCCTGCATCCTCTGTATCGCAGGCAAAAATCTTCAATAGAACTTTTGTGAGTTTCAGGACAACAAATACCAATTGCGTTTTTAATGGCTTACAGTATACATACATCTGGTGGTGTACTGGTGCGTTTTTGGTAGTTTGGGAATTCTGAATTTAATATTTTTGACGTTTCCATGGCAACAAGTTTGACTTAGACTGAAATTGGTGGTAGTGCTCTTTTCCAGTGCAGAACTTCAAAACCGTTTAATGTTTCTTCACCAAACTTGGCACATACATACATCTGGTGGTGTACTGGTGCCCGTTGGTAGTTTGGGAATTCTGAATTAAATATTGTTGGCGTTTCCATGGCAACAAGTTTGACTTAGACTGAAATTGGTGGTAGTGCTCTTTTCCAGTGCAGAACTCCAAAACCGTTTAATGTTTCTTCACCAAACTTGGCACATACATACATCTGGTGGTGTACTGGTGCCCGTTGGTAGTTTGGGAATTCTGAATTAAATATTGTTGGCGTTTCCATGGCAACAAGTTTGACTTAGACTGAAATTGGTGGTAGTGCTCTTTTCCAGAGCAGAACTCTAAAACCGTTCAATGTTTTTTTCATGGAACCTGGCGCATAGATTTGTCTGGTGGTGAACTGGTGCCTTTTGGATTTCTGAATAAAATATCTTTGCATTTCCATGCCAACAAGTCGGACTTAGACTGAAACTGGTGGTAGTGCTCCTTTCTGGAACAGAACTTTAAAAAGCTTTCAATACTCTCCTTTCTATATACACACCAAAACATTTGACATAATCATAACTCGTAGACATATTTATGAAGAATATTTTGCCATTGCGGGAGATATTGATGACTTTTTCTTCTTGTTATTTTTGAAATAGTAGAGTGTGAGTTGCGATGTCATCTTTATTGGTTGTATCATAGTTATCATCATAAGGAAACTGCAGTGGATCAGGAAAGTGAGGCACCCATATCCATGGAAAGTGCAGGTAGAAAATATCTAACTGATTTTCTTGACATAACCTGTACCTATTTATATACACATTTACTCAATGTTTAAACTCAGATTGTTTCCTAGGTGAACTTGTTTTGGAGTATTTTTAGTGGCGTGACAACAGTGTACAGTTCTACATATCCTACCAACTATTAGCTCTCTCTGCCGTTTAGTTTTCAAGCAAATGATGCATAGAAACATTCACCAGTGAATGACAAAAGTTCAAAATATACTATCAAACACTTTTTTCAGTTCTATAACATGAACAAAATCATAATATTATTGGCAAACTCCGAGTGAGGTGACCTAATCACTAGCAGTGATCAGTTTCGTCAAATATACACATATGTCCAAAGTTTAGGTCTTATTTTTATCCGGAGTTATCAGCCGTATTTGCCTTGGATACACTAAAGTTGAAGGCACGCCATACCCTCAACGTAAAAATTCATCATACAGTGAGCAGTCAGGCCTTCACTATCCGTCACTGTGTATGCTACAGCATGGCTACCACGTCCAAACTTTGATCCTGACCCCTGACCACTCTTCAGGACAGCACTGCAAGATAAAAGTGAACAAGTCGTAATATTCAGGCGATATCTCATTAGCCTGTATTCCGCTATATCAGGGTATGTACGTCAGCAATTAACAGTTAACCCATTAGTGACAAACAATATAACAGTATGGATATGTCGCACCAAAACTGAGACTCAGGACTGTATAATCAAGAGTCCTCGGTTACTGCAAATAGCAGCCTGGGATGGAAAGTGTAAGTGTAAATTGTTTCCATGGAAATCGAAAGAAATAACAATGCAATAAGCACCACTTTAGGTTCTGTTTGATATATCTACCAAGTTTTGTTGAAAAATATTGAACGGTTTTTGAGGTAAGCTCCGGAAACGAAATGATTACGGACGGACGAACGACCACGACAGACAGACGAGGTGTTGACCATAAACTGATTAAAGCTTATACAAGAAATCTGATCCTTACCCTTTATTCAATAATGTCAGATAAGGTTTTATCCAAATTGCTGGATAACTTTATTAAATTTCAAGCGACATTTTTTTAATATTAGTGTCTCGCATATGTCTTAGATGGACGTTTTTCAATCCTTAACCGGTCATGTTAGACATACAAATGATATAAAATGAAATGGCATGTGTGGTCTTGTGCATGGGACCCACAACACCAATCAGTTGAAGTAAAAGCTACGTTCGTCACAGACAGTCCTTAGATGGGTGAATGTGTTTGGAAGCTTGACGCCTGAGAGTTTCTAGGACTACCGTCCTCTCCCACAACGAAGTACACGTGGCACATATGGCCTCACCTTTGGCAAGTTAGTTTGTTCTAAATTGGCTCTGTTCACCGAGCACTTTTATCAGATGGTCATATGACTGTTAACCTTCAGACGCGTTACAGGATGCTTAGGTACAAATGTCTGTTCTTTGCACATAATTGGTGCTTAGCACCACTGAGCATCTTTGTGGTGTTTATAGTTGAGTTGAGTTTTACGTCCCATCAGCATTATTTCAGCCATATAGCGACGAGACCTGCATGTATATGCATTTAAGTACAAATTTTAAATGAGTTTGGCTTTTATAAAACATTTTTATTCATTACATTATAATTTACAAACAGCAAAAGTCATAGCACTAAATTTAAAAACATGCAATCCGTCATTCACATCACATAGTTACAAGTTATGGTAAATGTCAACTTCCCTCAAATAGTTAACAATGAGATTCCCGAGAAACAGATCTTTGAAGTTTATCGCTTCATAATGTGCATCCCTTGCATTTCAAAAGTCCACCCAGTCAAGCAGAATATGGTTGATGGTGAACACTTCGTCGTCGTAAGCGATACCCATAGGAGGTCCATTTCTATCTGTTTTCGGCAAATAGTCATGTGTGAGTGAGTGAGTTAAAACTCATTAAGCCCTAGGGCCGCTTCACTGCTCAACAACTGGGTCCCCTCGCTGACTGCCCGATCCCTGTGGCGAGACTAATTAGTGCGTATCGAAACTATTGTCTTATGTATTCTGATTTATTAGTTAGTATGATTCGATTTGTTTTGTTGAAACAAAACTTGATATGTATGATGGCATAACCATTCCAAATTTCACTGTTTTTTACTGCCCTAGGCAACGACGCTCTGTCGGTAAGTCTAGTGGTATATTAATTGCTGTCAAGAATGTTTTGTCAGAATTACTTGATTGCCCTTCTATTTGTGACCGAAACTCTGCTTGCATCAAGCTATAGCTAACACTTGGTGACTGTAAGAAACCTTTAGCACTGTGCACTGTGTATATGCCCCGGAAAACTCACCATACCACCATGCAGAGAACTTTGAAAAACTTGATAATGATATAAGAGATTTTAAATCAACACATAAAGTTATCCTCTTGGATGATCTTAACGCTCGAACGAGTACAAAGCCTGACTACAGCCCTGTAGACGAGAAAGAAGACAAATATATTGACCTTAACCTGAACAATGCTGATGAGTTTGGTGAATATAACATGCTATCCGAGCTAGGAATCCCATTTGATAGATCATCATAGGACCAGGGCCACAGCAATAACCATGGACACCTGCTATTAGATATCTGTAAATACAACAGCATGTGCATACTGAATGGACGATTGGGGAGAGACCGTAACTATGATCGAACGACGTGCAAGGGTACCAGTGCAGTTGATTATGGTATATCAACCTTACAAGTGCTACCACATACAACACTTAAATATTTAAGCAAAACTGGCCCCAGTCTTGGCAAAACTATGTTTCAAAAGTAAATTCACGGACGCCGATGACAAGGTATGGAACATGCTACAGAGAATTAAAGGTAAGGGTACCAAATCAAGCATACATCATCTCAAAACTGGGGATCAATTGTTAACAGATTAACCTGATATCGCAAGCAAACTGGGTGAAACCCTTGCAAAACATTCTTACTCGTCTAACTATATTCCTAAATTTCAAAAATACCAAAAACAGCAGGAAAAGAACAAAATTAAGTTTCATTCGGTTAATGGGGAAGATTATAATGAAAGATTATCTATTCATGAGCTTCATACTGCTCTTGAACAAACTGACGATACTGCTGCAGGAGCTGATAACATTCATTATTAACTCCTGAAAACACTTACATCAATCCTGTTTAGAGACACTATTGAGTGAGTGAGTTAAGATTTACAGTCACATCGGCAATATTTCAGCCATATCGAGACTAAATCAAGTTTTGAATTCACCATAAATACATGTAAATTATAAAAAAATGTCAACGAAGGACAGTAAATCCAACTAGAATATCACAGTATCAAGAAATAAAACTAGCATCTCTCTCTAAAATTGGATTTTAAATTAGAACACTACAGTATAGAAATGCATTATAGATCGAAAACAATTGAAGGTAAATCACCATACTAGGGACCATTGGGACTATCAGTGCCTTTGCTACCTACATGGACCCTAGTTGGATATACACCATCCCTTCATCTACTGGCGAAATATTTAGCTGAAACTTAAAAGAACAAAAATACTACGAGAGACACTATCGATCATTTTTTATGACATATGGACATCTCACAAATTTCCTTCATTCTGGCGTGACGTCATTGTTGTACCCATACCTGGACGTGATCATACCATTTCCTTGACTAGCTGCGTTTGCAAAACCACGGAACGCATGGTCAATAACAGATTAACTTGGTACTTAGAGACAAATAATTTAATCACAAATATTCACTGTGGTTTTCGTAAACATCGCAGTACCATTGAGCATTTAGTTCGGTTGGAGTCATTCGTTAAGAATGCCAATATTAACGATCAGCACTCTGTGTCGATCTTTTTCAATGTCACATTGTTTAGTATTAAGATCAACAGTTTATCAAAGGTTTTAAATGATTCAATCGATGGATCTATCTTTCTGGATGATTTTGATATTTCTTGTCGGTAAAAATATGCATACTATTATACGGCAACGCAGTTGTGTTTAAATGAAATATATAATTGGTGTCTTTAAAACAGCTTGGTCAAACACTTAACGCTTGATTAACGTTTCTAGGTTTATTTCATCATAGTTTCTACATGCAAGATCAATGAATCATATGTGTTTTTTGTGTCGCCTCAGCTAACCAGAAATAATACCAGTATCTAGACCAGGTGGTGGGCGGACGTAGAATCTCGTGCTGTCAGCAGATCCTTAGACGTGATCATGTAACATGGCATTAACTTTAAGTCTGTATGATGTCCTGATTATAGCTTTTGATATTGGGTTTTAAATCACTGTACGGGATCAGCAGTGGAAATAAGGGCTTGTCAAGAGCTGCTTTTGCTGCAGCATCGGCTTTTGTGTTACCTGCTATGCCGACATGACCCGGCAACCAGCAGAGGAAGATGTCACATTGACCAGTAGAGAGGTGGTTGTAAAGCTCTAAAATGTCCAGAATGATTGGGTGACTTGAAGTAACATTTGAAGTGCTTGAAGGCAGGAATATGCATCTGTGAAAACGATGAAGTTTTTGGAATCATTCTGCTGTTTAATATAGGTGAAAAGATAGCTTTGGCCTCGGCAGTGAAAATGGAACTGTTGTCGGAAATCCTAGAGGAGACAGTCTTAGATCCAATGACTGTAGCACTGGCAACTTGGCCCTCATCCTTGGAACCGTCTGTGAAAATGGATCTATGGGTGTCATACTTGGAACGTAACTGGATGTATTCCTGCTGGAACACCAAGGGATTTGTTTCAGACTTTTTGAATTTTGTGAGGGTAAGATCGACCTGTGGTTTCACCATCTGCCAGGGTGGTGAAGACAGGAGTCGGTAAGATGCTATGCTATTGAGATCAATTTTAGCTGCAGATATGTGTGGTTGAATTCTGATTCCAAGTAGTGGAACCAGGCTTGGCAGCTTAGGAAACAAGTTTTCATAGAGAGGGTTGAAAACACAATTGTATGCTGGTTTGGACTGATTTGAACGTAGTTTAGTGATATACTGCATTGAAAGTTTAATGCGGCGTTGTTCAAGGAAAGGTTCGTTAGCCTCTGCATATAGACTGTCTACCGGAGAGGTCCTAAAACCTCCCAGGCAGAGACTCAGGCCTTGGTGGTGGATAGAATCTAATTTTTCTAAATTGCTTTTGCAGGCTCCACCATAAACAATGGAGCTGTGGTCTAGTTTAGAACGAACCAAAGATCTGTACAAGTGAAGGAGGGTAATCTGATCCCCTCTCCACTCTGTATTTGAAACGACTTTTAGTAAGTGCAGAGCCTTCAAGCACTTAGTTTTCAAATATTTGATGTGTGGCAAGAATGTCAGGTGGCGGTCGAATATGAGACCCAGGAATTTGGCCTCTTCTACTACCTTGATGGGAGTACCATCCAAAGTTACGTCTGGATCCTTGTGTGGTCTGTATTTACGACAAAAGTGAATACAATTTGTTTTGGATTTTGAAAACTTAAAGCCATTTTCATTGGCCCATTTTGGATTTTGTTAAGGCAGAGTTGTAGCTGCCTTTCTATTGCGTACATGTTCTTACCACGACATGAAATATTG